ATATTATGCTTATTGTCTTTGCGTAGATATATTTTTTAATTCACGATATATTTCACAAATATTACAGTATAATTTAACATGCATATTGTTCACCAAAAATATACCTACATAGGTAAACAAATTTAATTAAAATGATGTCGCTGCAAGACAAATGATTAAACAATTTCAAAACGAAACCTGTTGAGCGCACAAATCCGTTGTTGGAGCTTAACAATAAATAATTTATTTAACGTCAATACATAATTGGTGTTATTAATGGAACGCCACGTAGTTCGGAAGGGTTCCCTCTATCTGACAGAATTTTGTTGCTCCGAAATTCATTAGGCATAACACACTTGGCAGAATCTTCTTTGAACGAATATTTGTAAGGCATTGTTTTTATTTAATAATTGTTTGGCTGAATTCATTCATTGGCAGTATTTTGTCAGGCTGTCAAAATTTTACTCTGTATCGGCTACCTAATAAATATTTGTATTTTCGCACATATTTATCAGGTGGTTGATACACAGTAAAATTCAGACTATTCTATGTACTTTCTAAGATATGATGATTCTGCTTTTAATTATAATGAATATGAATATTAAATTTCAGCATAAAGATGAATCTGGCAGCAGGCTTACAAAATGAGTTTTGAATGTATATAATAAATTAGCTATAGCGAAATGATTTTCTGCGAAATGAATTTGATGGCATCCGCTGATATGCATAATAAAATTATGACTTTAAAAGTTCTGCGACAAATGGTGGATCCGAGTGGACACCAAATTATTTTCTGCGAAATGAAGTTGATGCCATCCGCTGATAGGCATAATAAAATTACGACATTAAATTTTCTACGATAAAAGGTAAACCCAGGTTGGAACTAATAATAACATTTCATTCAACATCACACTTCGTCCGCTGTTTGAAGGCCTCATCAAACAGCCAAAAAACTGTCAAATAAGGCGCGGAGAGCCGACCCGAGGAGCTAGGTGTCAAAAGCTTTACCTGTGTTGACACCTACGCGGTTATGCGCGTCGGCCGGTCAGTTTGTTTGGGAATTATCCTTTCACACCTTAATCTTATAGTCGCTACTCAAATTATTGTATAAACAATACAAACTCCATAGTTTCGCATTTACCACGTCCGATTTAAAAATCGAAATCGTGTTCGAATTTATGAATCCCAAATAACATAGGTTTTACAACATGCACACAAAACAAAACAAACGACTGTCGCCGCACTAAATTTCGCTCGAGGTTCCGAACGGCGATTTTCGATCCGCTCATGAGTCGAATTAATGCAGTACCTAACCCCCGTTTGGGCCCATAAAAATTCACGACAAAACCAGTATAAGCGGCTGGATGTCGGAGGTTTGGTTGTTTTTCGGCTCGTTCCCCGAATCTGTGGAAATGTCCGAGCAAAAACCCGCCGGAACAGGATTTTGTATCGGCACCGCCATATCTGGATGCGTTAAGAAATGATAAAGAGGACGCCGCACCGGCCGTGGCCGCGTGAGGCGGTAACAACCCACGAAAAATTAATGCTGTGCTCGAAAGAAATTCACACTTTGAGTGGGTGCGCAAAGGAAGAACATACAGGTAAGTAAATATAACTGTAATTTACGATATCCAATTGCAAAAAAATTTTGCTGATAAAATGAATATTGAAAAGGCTCTGTTCTTCTTCTAAAATAAGGCAGGCTGGACAAATGCTAGAACACAAAACAGTAAGCATTTTATTTTTGTAAAAATCATTATCCAAAATTTTTCATAACAAATTTTACAATTATACAAATCCTTTAAAACATGCAACAAATTATTTATACAACTATACTATGATATTTTCGCGTGCGGCAGCGATGCGAATGGGCGAAAACTCAGCGTAACATTTACTCAGAGAGTAAATCGTTCTGACCCATATAGATGAGGTCACGCAATTAAATGTCCGATTAAAATTCACAATACAATAAACGAAATTAAAATTAAATTAAATACAAAAATTATATAAACATTCATTGGAAATCCATAACAATTATTGGTACATTTACAAAAACTTAAAAACAAAGAAAAAAAAATTTGATAAATTAATCAGTGAGAAAATATTTTAAATTCTTATTTTTTAATGAATAAATTTGAGTAGAAATTATTGTAAGTATTGAAGTTAGATTTATTCATAATACTTAATGCAAATACAATTCGATAATCCTGAAATAAACCTGATAATCATTGAATAGATAACATCGGTGCAAAACATTATGTCACGATGACGTAGCCCTAAATAATAATCCATTACTAATACTTACTTCCAATAGTGACTTGCATACCGGCTCTTTGGGCGATGATCAACATGATAGATAGATTTGTCAACCGATATTGAACATCTGTGTAAATCAAATTATACGAATAATAAATGTTGCCTATGTTCTGAAGTGAAAACTTATAAAAAAATCTTTAACAATTTCATGCCTGCAAAAGTTAAGTCCATTTTAAAAATGGTGTAGGTATTCGAGATAAATGACTAAATTTTTTTAAAGCATTTTTCTGATTATAACATACATAGTTTGCAAGTGGGCATTGAAGAGAAAACCAGACCATGTAAGCCATGCCTTGAGATAAATGGCCTGGCTAACGTAACCATTTCACCATTTTATATATACACATATATTCAGGACTTCACAGTCACTTAACATCAGGTGGGGTGGAGTCGTTTGTCGGACCTATCTATAAGAAAATGTATATTTAACTTGTTAACTACGCAATTTTACTCAGTGATCCCAAACCATGCCAACATATAGTTACTGCGGGCAATTCTGTAAAATTTTCATTTTACAGAATAGCCCCGCTGAACTTAATCTATGGTGGCTTTCAAAGGAAAGGAATTAATGAAGCTGTACAATGGTACAGCTGCATTAATTAATTCTTCTGATGAAATTTTTCGTCTGTGCAGGTTTGCTTGCAATATTAAATGTTTGGTGTTCTGACCTTTGGCACATGCTGCGTGGATATTACTTATGATAACTTTATCAATAAATAACTAACTGATCGATGACTGTGCCAATTCATCCTTTTTCTGGCTGAGCATCTTGTTAAGAATTGTTGCAATTTTGCATGTCGGTTGTGCACCACTTTGTGCTTCAGGCAGTCGGCCCTCATGTGAGAGCCAAGACATTGATTACTTTCTGTATATCGTTACATTCTTTTCCAGAAGTAGCCAAGTTGTTCCATAGATTAGGTGACATCTGAAGAATGACGTAATACTCGAGATGATTGAGTTTTTTAGCTCTGTTGTAGTATTCGTAATGATGCATGATACACATACGTACACTATTCCAATGCGACGATTATTCAATTCTAATTTCGGCAGTGGGTGTAATGCGATTGTCGACTTGAATAATGGCGGTTGATTGTGCAAGGTCTTCTGGTGTATACGCGATCCCCTTATCGCTTTAGATCGCGTCTCTTGCAAAGTAATAATTTTTATGGACTAATACTTAAATTTCCTGGAGGTATGTTATTTGGGAAATTTAAAAGTAAATGTTTAACAGTTTTACTTATGTTTACAGGAATGAAATGACGTTTCTGTGCGTTGTTTGGAGTATTTTAAATTCTAATGAGTTGTACTTCCTTTGTGTCATTTTAATCTCATTGCATTGGTTTCTTATTGGTTGCAATACCAAATATATTAGCTTTTCCCGATTTGTGTATTTTTTCATTTATGAATAAGTATTAATAGGTTCTGATTTGATAAACATCTAGATTTAACCACGAATGCAATCATGCTCGAATACAAATCAGGAAGATACTATGATCAGTTCTGATCAGCTACTACTACAAATAAATGGTATAAGTAAATGCCATTAGTAAGTACTGTGTCGATTGCAATCAGGCGCGAATACAAATCAGGAGGATACTATGATCGGTTTTGATCAACTACTACTACACACGAATGGTAGGGAGTAAATCAGCGTGACACTGTTTATGTGCATTAGTGTGGTGCTATGCCATGCGCGTATGTGCGTGACTCACGGCGGGCGCACATGTGCAAGTGGAAATAAATAGTCATGCGGACACGGAGCGGACGCGAGCGAGCGGGCGAGCGGCGACGGCGGCCGGCCGCTCGACGCGCCAGGGAATGCGACCGCCCAGTGCGGGGAACCAATCTCGATACGAATGTGACACATTCTTTTTATGAAAACAGCTGTTCGACTGCGACGTGGTACTGGTGCTGGCTGGTAGTCCATCTTGAATGTTCCTTCCTAATTCAAATTGTTTTGTCTGGTGCAATGATTTAATAATAATAAATATTTCCAACACTCACACCAATTAGCCTAGCCCCAAAGTAAGCGCTGTAAGGCTTGTGCTAGGGCAACGGATAGAATACATATACAGTACAATTATAAGTATATTTATATAGAAATACATATTAAACATCCATGACTGGAGTACAAATGCTCGTGTTCATCGAGTCGTGCTCGTGGACCTCTCGAGTCGGCGACACCATGAAACCCGGCGTACAAACCACTCGGCCACGGAGGTCGTCAAATGACGATACGTTAGCAATACATTACGACGATATGAGGTGGACGATACGTTAGCACAAACACATCAGAATTCCAATTCATTAAAAGTAGCAAAATTATGTAAACCCTATCAAAATCGTTTTTTTTATTCTCAACATATGTATACAAACTATTTCTTATAATCCCATAGCCCCACATGATCACTCCGTTGGAGTTGAATAGACGACGTTGCGTTGTACGGAAACGTTAATGCCTGATTACTAACTAGCTCAATGATTATAGCAACGTTTCAAGATTCGAGCCCACTATGTGACGTAATTGCTCTTAGTAGCAAAAACACTAAAACCACGCATACTTAAAAATACAGAACAACTTTTGAAACAACACCGCTCACACAAATTCTACACGATAGATTCCGTAGCCGCGGCTGCTACATCTCTAAGGGCGGGAGTCGAGACTGGGCTGGCGCCGGCGTTTTTTACCCTGTGGCACTAACCATCGCACGAGTAGCCCAATCAAGCGAGCCCAGTCGCAATCCGCACGCCGCACCAGACGGACGTCAGTGACGCTCGCGCACGCCAGCGCGATAGTAACACGATATGTGAAGTGTCTCATTGCCGTGCCAATAAAAAAATTACTTTAGTGAAGTTGACGCTGTTGTTGTTGGGAGATTTTTTTTAAGTTAAACTTGTTTATGTTCGATTGGATTTGATGTGAAGATGTCCTCTTTCATCACTACTGATGCTGAAGCGCAGCCTGAAGTTAAAGGTGAGTTTCAGGAATCAAAAATGTTAAAAACAAATTCGCCTAAACTTTACTTCCAGGGCCCAAGTGGTGATACTTCACACAAGGTTAGGTTAGGCTAGTGTTGTGACATTTTTTTTATGAGACCGTTTCTACAAAAAAGTTCGAGTATCACCTATTGGGCCCTGGAAGAACAGTTTTACCACAAATTCAACTAATTTCATCATCAACTTAATATATAAATTAATTAACCAAATATGACAAAGGCCTATAGAAATGTTATTTTTTTGGTGTACGTTTGTTTGTATTTTTGGTCGATAAATACACAGTATGCGTCATTTAACTCATCAGCTCTAGTTTACCTACTACCCTCATTTTTATTTTTTTTCGATCTTGTTTGTAAACAATCCATCTAACATCGTTAGTTTATGTCTTTATTTCTAAATAAATATGGCTAGTACATCCAGTTGCTGACCTTCATGGGCTTGGAGACCTATCAGGCAAGTGATTGGCGTCTCTTCATTAACAGTAGTAACCGTAGTCTCAAAGCAGTGCTTTTACATAATGGAAATAAACATACTTCTGTTCCAATAATTGCTCACTCAACATGTATGAAAGAAGAATATGAGGTAATTTCAGTTCTTTTACAGAAAATAATTGGTACACTGAATATAATTGGGTGATCTGTGTCGACTTGAAGATGGTTAATTTTTTGTTGGGTCAACAGAGCGGTTATGCAAAATTCCCCTGCTTTATTTGCCTTTGGGATAGTCGTTAACTAACGTTAACTTGTGTAATAGTGCATTCTAAACAAACGTCACGAAAATCAATAAACAACAAACAAATCAACAAAAACTCTACGAACATACAAAAGCTTAATTTTTCTTTCAGAAACATTTATCACAATAGCTTTTTCCCCGGTAAAATCGTCTGTTTAGTTTCTACAAGTCATATATTTCCTTTTCATACAAAAGCAAGGACTGTTTTATTCAAATTCGTGTTAGTACAATGAAAGGTCACTGAAAACTCTATATAGTGAAACTCGTTTTCATAAACAAGATCACTCTTTCAGTAAAGTAACTTTTCCAAAATCTCTTTCGATCCACGAACAAAGTCTTCGACAATAACTGATTAGCTAGCTGGTGAATAAACATATTTTTACTTAGAATAAATTAGAAACTCTTCAGTAACCAAAATAATTGAAATTACAAAAAAAAAGGTTGAAAAATAAAGAGAATCTCTATATTTTTATCTACGATAAGATAAGACTTCAACGCGCTACATTCTATTCTATTGTCCAAGGAGGACTTACATAATTTCGGAAAGCTTAGTATACTTTTTTATTCGTATACATTCAAGCTATTGCATATTTTCAGTATGTAGTACAGCAGGTATATAGTGTAGAACAAGATTGCTAAATACTCGGATTGCATGAAATATTTTCTTTGCACACTTATTAAAGTAGAATGGAAATTATTTTAGATTCAATCCTGTAATTACTAAAAGCACATTAAGCTTTTCATTTAAAAGTATATCTTATTATGTCATTTATTTACATCTAAAGAAAAAGTTTACTAGAAAAAAATCCACGCGGACCAGGCAGCGGACGGGACTCGAACCCGCACCCTTCGCAATCCGGGCGAATGCACTGACCATTATGCTACCACGGCCCTATTCACCGCGTAGAAATTTTCTTAGCCTTAAGCTGCAAGGCAGTGCCATCTTTTCGCATTGTAGGTAACCCACAATGTAAAATGAATACTTCTTCAAGTATTTTTTTCTAGTAAACTTTTCTTTAGATTTAAACATTTAGCAGTTAAATGCTTAAAGATAAATAAAATCATAAATGTAATGTATTTCCTAATTTTATATGCTGAAAGACATTGTCCTTCTTAAACATTTTAATATGCAATAAAGATACGAGCGCGCTTGTATTTGACAGTGCATAAAACTTACAAAAACCGTTATAGGAGCATTAAAACTTGCGTGATTTACGTCGAGGAAGTCCATACATATGAATGTGTTTATCTAGAATTATTAGATATTATGTTGGCCAAAACTCAGCTATAAAATTTCGTTATGTAAATCCTGAATATTTTATCTATATTATGCGTAAGGAATTTTAAAATTTAACATAAAGTTTTAACAAAACAGATACTTTTTATAGTTGTAAATGCATGCTACTTTTTGAGCTACTTTAATGATCTTCATAATATAAAAAATAACTAATTTTTAATCTCTAAACTATTATATGCATATCTTTAACTGGATATGAGATATTGAAAACAGACGAATATTCAAAACATGATGAATTTTCAGTCAAACGACAATGGAACAGACAAAACTTTTATTTTTTCCTACAATTTGAAGTTAATGCCTAAAAAGTTAGATATCATGTTTTTTTTAAAGTCTGTGTACTAACGCACAATCTTATTTTCATCTCAACAAAACTAACAAAAGCTCATGTGATGTGACCAATTTTAACTGCGTAGAAACTAATCTCCGCCCGCCCAAAACAAAGGGTTAACTAAAAAAAAAACAAATGCACATGTTACTAGGGTGCACACCCTACTGTGTGACAAGTGTACCGACAAATCTGTAAGACAGCCGGGCTAGGGTAAAATCAACCTTACACCTCGACAATAAGGGTATCTAATAACATTACTGTCGCTTCAGAAATTTGTTTATTTGCTCACATGTTGCCCTGTGGGGGTCGCTTGAACTCAATAGCGGCTCCAATGGAGATTTTTTGCCTTCGTAAATAGATACCACTTGTGTGAACAAATTAACTTTGGGATCAATCATTATACTGGTAACTAACTACGATAATAGTTCCCAATTATAGGATGGTTACAGGTGCGAGAGTTTTACAACTTATACTAATTAGCGCATACTTAATTGTAATTAAGAACATGATTGATTTTTTTCTAGTAAACTTTTCTTTCGATTTAAACTTCTAGCAGTTAAATGCTTAAAAATAAATAAGATCATAACTATAATTGCTATTTCATCTTTCAAATGTTTAATACTTGAAAAAGTATTCATTTGACATTGTGGGTTACCGACAATGCGAAGAGATGGCGCTGCCTTGCAGCCTAAGGCTAGGAAAATTTCGACGCGGTTAATAGGGCCGTGGTAGCATAATGGTCAGTGCATTCGCTCGGATTGCGAAGGATGCGGGTTCGAATCCCGTCCGCTGCCTGGTCCGCGTGGATTTTTTTTCTAGTAAACTTTTCTTTCGGGTTAAACATCTAGCAGTTAAATGCTTAAAAATAAATAAAATCATAACATGGTTGTAACTTAAAAGATATTAAGACAAGTACAAATAAAAAGATTAAAATGAAAATGATCAGGATATGTAGTGAGAAACACAAAAACAAATTGGGGCAAAAACATCATAGAATAGTATCCGGAAAATGGCAAGAGAAGGGAAAAGGAAAACAAATTAGAAGATGGGAAGATAACATAACTATTGTAGGAGGGAGGCGTATTTAGACAAGAAAAAAATGCAGAACAATTTGAAAGGCATTAGAGGGTGCTACAGAGAGCGAAGAGTTTCTAGACGATTTTAAGTAAAAGAAATAGAAAAAACAAATCAATAAAGGCTTGTATTAACTTAAAAGATTTTAATCACTCTGGATTTTTACACAGTGTTGTCTCATAAAAGTATGTTTTTCTTACTTACAATGTTTTCGTTGGTGTCGATTCCGACGTGATTGTCTAAACCTAAACTTGACAACAGTGTATCCTTGTCATTCTCTATACAGAATGCAAAGGAGAGACTGATCTTTAACTAATTTGAAAGTTTAGGGAATCATGCCAGAATCGCCACCAATTATTATCATCATTAACTTACTAAGAGCCACTTGTAGAAATTTTGCTAAATCTCAATTTAATTAAAACTTGGTTCTGTCAATTCAATATTGCTTGAATTGATATTGGCGATGTGACATTTTTCTATGAAATATATGTACACTTAAATGAATTTTAATTGAATCGAGATTTAGCAGCAAGTGGGCCTTATATATTGTATTTAAGTTATGCTTGTTTCACAAAGATAGTTAGAAATAATTAATTCTCACTAGCAATTTTTTGCTTTTTGTAAGCCCAAAGCCTATGTCCAGCAGTGGGCTGATGTGGGCTGATGATGAAGTCCAAAAGTAATCGCTACTCAATATGTGCTCAAAACATAACCCAACAAGGCAGCATTATATAAAAAAAAACACAAAAGCAATATTTAAGAACATGATAAGTTAAAAAAATTAGTCGCGCCATACTAATGTCCGCGTCACATGTCGCTTGTTCGGGACAATTGTACAATAGAGATGTCATCACATGGCCACTGGATAGGGCGATAGTAGGGTTACCATATCTTAGGATTGCGGCAGGATTTTGAGGAAATCTCAGGATTTTTAGAATGTTCGATATAATAGAGTAGATTTAGAAATCTTATAGTACAGTGAGGGCCAGTATATGGAGGGAAGGTTGGATGATATCTGCTTACATCGCTACCACATAGGACTTCCGAAATCCCCATAACACAAAACTTATAATAATATAATATTAATAATAACTTGTAAATTTTGTCTGAGAAAAGACTTTCAAATTGTCGCAGAATTTCAGGATATTTCAAGCTTTAATAATTTTGTGATCTGGTTACCCTAGGCAATGACGACGTCACGCACCCGTTTGCCGCCCAGATGCGCCGGCGCAGATGTTAGCGACGAATGCTTGACATCTGTGGATGTATACATGTAATATTCCGCCCGCCCCGCTCCCGTCGCTACTCATAAACAAATTTCAGCAAATGTACACAATACAGGATTATTAGTTAAGATTTTAAACTAACATTGTTGCTTGTTTGTTTTCAAATTGTTATATTGATTGTTAGCTTTGTCAAACAAATGCTTCATACGTATTTTGTTTAAAATGGTTTTTTGTGATATGTTATTTTGTATTGTGCAGTTTTTTTTTAGAATAGCTTAAGACAAATTAAGTACCTTTTAATTTGTTCCACATTTGCT